TCACTCATACTGTCTTCCAACTGTTTGGATTAGAATCAGCGAAACCCTCATCTTTTCCTCCTAAAAGCTGTTTCTTGGACTTGAGCTCAATCAGCTTACACATAGTATTGGAACTAATTGATCCATTTAAATGAGCGTGTAGTTCCTATTACCATTGATAAGGTTAATACAAAAGTAGAGCTAACTCACCACTTTGGGTAAAAGCTGACAGAACTCCAACATAAACATGATTTCCCTGGAAGGCAAGGGTCTGGCTAGCGAGACTACCAACCTGCCATACGCGTGGGACGGGAAAGTACTACAGTCATACAATGCCCGGGCTACAAGCCCTTGTTCCTCTGTCGGGCCTGTCCTAGTCTGACGCCACCTAGGCCTGTCCTAGAGACTAGGCCTGTCCTTACTCCAGTGTGTAGACTGTGGGGTACTCACTCCTTTATTTAATAAATGAAATAGTCTGAAAGTCAAGAGATACTTGTTTGATGGTGTTCTACTAAGAGATGAAGAGAGGTTTTCTACAAGTATCTCGACAAAAAAGTGAAGACTAAACCATTCAAACCCACGTGTTTACTCCGTACAGTCCGTAGAGCTATATCTACTAGAGACTACGGAGTATTACTGAGCCACGCCTCGCTGGACTAACCACCTTTTGCGTGGGTGTAAACATTGACCTATCTTCACAAGCAATGGCTACAAGTACAAGCCCTAGCTCTTCCTCTGCTCCTTTTATAAACGTTTGCAATAAAGAACTAAGTGAGTTTGGGAGTATATTTGACATTTCATGATATTTTGCACAGGCATCGATGACTTTTATGATATTTATGAGAAAATTGAGCAACTTTCAGCTTCCTGGAAGCAGATTGCCATTTCCTTGCGTCTCAAAATAAACACAATTAACAAGATAGAAGCTGATTGTCGTGGAAACACCGTCACTTGCCTGCAGAAAGTTTTGGAGTAATTGGTTAAGGAAAGATTATGATTACGAGCGTTATGGTATTCCTTGTTGGAGGAGAGTGTGTGTCGCTGTTAAAGAAGGAGGAGGTGATCCAGCATTAGCTGATGAAATAGCTCGTGAACATCCTCTACCAGCTATGCCACCTGCAGGATCAACTAGTTCAAAAGGTTCGTATATTAGTTGAATGTTGACATCAATAGTATCACTGTCAGTGTCACAGTATCTATGATAATATATTATGTGTTAGCATAGGTTGGGTTGGGTAGCCAATTTATCTCTGGGGATGCGGCTAATATGCCAGCATAGTTTCTGTAAAAATTTTAGAGTCCTGAGCATTATGCTGTAATAAACGGAAAGAACGGGCATAATTTATTAATATTTATATTAATCTCATCAATAATACTTAAATAATTGTAAGTTTAATAATAAATACATAGAGGTCTAGTTAAAGAACCAAAAATTGAGAAAATGGTTGCCAATTATCAAAGAAATTAGTTTAGTCCCGCATCTTCGCTGGAGAAAGAAAGGTTTGGAGACACTCAAAGCTTTTCTTGGTCCTTGTGCTTTAATGTATGCGCACCAATCAGATTGCTCCAACCACGTGGTACCACTGCAGGCTTGTGAATATTGCATAATATAATTTTAATAAAATGGCGTCTTGAAGATAGGTAGAATTTGAAGTAGTTTTATGAGTTGTTACAGGGTCTGAAGTTCAAAGGGAAGATAAGAATAAACAGCAGATGGGCATCACAAAGTTTTTAGTGATTATAATGCTAACAGGATTTAGTGGCAAGCAAATGTCAATCACTAAGGGCCTGTTCATCACGTGAAATTAACACGTAGGTGCATCCAGTCAATGATGAAGCTGCAGCACTAATTACATTCCATTGTGTCCAAGATATGCTTTGAATGTCTCCAGACCCTTCCTTCTCTAGTGAAGAAGCGGGGTGAGACTGCAAAGAAGTGAAATAATGTAACTAAATCCATCTTTGAGTGAATTACCATGAGCAATATTGGGAATCATAACGATTAAAGGCATGAAATAGCATAATAGGTAAGAAATAATAGCCTCATCCCTAATTATCTCCTTTTTTGTATCAAGCCAACTACTTTAGTAGTTGAAGTCATATGAATGTCATTAATCATAATGCACAAAATTCCAGTCTCAGTATAATGAATGTTACTTGAATTTGACCGAATTTTCTCGCTCATTATAGTCATGTTCTTTTTTCAGCCTTAGTAAAATTAATTAGAATTAAATTTCTCGTGAAATTAATTCCCTAGCATATTGTCTCACATGCACAAAATTACTATTTGGTTATAATTTTATTTTTTAGAAAAGAGTGTCACTCCTGAAACAGATGAGGTAGCTACATGTATGTCACCAGCAAGCACTGACAGAGTAGGAGGTAATCCCTCACAATGATATAAAAATAGATCATACACAATTCATGCTTACAGTTAAATCATTAATAAGGGCATTTGTACATTGTAGGTACTGGTGGTCTTTCTGGTAAGCATTTTGACTTAGCAAGCAAACTGCACGATCTACGAGATGAATTTCTTGAAGCGATTAGAATAACAAAAAATTCCTTCAAATCAAGGGATCTACCTAGAATCATTGACTACCTTAATGCACACGCATTGTCATTACTTGGTCCTAAAAAGGAACAGCAAACAACTGCTGAAGCAGTTAGGGAAGAGTTTAAAGATATCCAAACATTATCAAATTTATTTACTCTGCTACAAGACAAGTATGTGTCATGGTTCAACTATAAACTAATCATAAAACTTGTTGGAATATTTCTACCCAAAAATGGTTCATTAAAGAGAACTTGGTCGTCATATGAAGAGAAGTTAAAGGATTATTTTGTAAACAGTGGTGGACTATTGAAAGATGCTGATGCTGTACAGTTTGGTGTAAAAAGTGTTCCTCCTGGTACACGAGTAATGATTGCTAAAGTTGACAGAGATGACTACACACTGGATGACATATTCTTCTTTCGTAGAGCAATACCAAAAAGTTTGGATATTCCTGAATATGATCTTCACTTTAGATCTGTTCACCTGAGTTCTCTCTGTTTGGGTTACCTCATTTCCGAGTATCTTTATTCTTTATTATTTCCTCTAACTACAAAGCTACAGCAACAGTTAGCTAGTATTGGTATCACTGAACTAACATGTGGTGAAGATAAATATGATCTAAGAGAGGTTTGTTATCCTTGTCTTGATAATTTAATATTATTATTTTCAAATTCACAGTTTTCAATAGAAGAGTTTAAGCACTCATCCACTGATATTGGTAAGTACATTTAGTCAACCCTCCATTGGGCAATGGTCAAACAGGATTACATACATGTGTTAATAATAATATTCTTCATAGATATATGTGATCCATTATGGTATGAGAATACCAGTACACCATTACATGAAGCAGCTTGGAGAGGATTAAAAGATGAAGTACAATGGCTTCTTGACAAGTTTGGCTCCAGGACATATCATTGTGGTCTTCATGGCTGGACTCCGTTACACTCTGCATCATATGGTGGACACATTGAGATCCTTCAACTACTCATCCATCAATATGGCATTGATCCTAATGAAGGTGATGATAATAGTGTATCTAGTATACATATGGCATCTTATAAAGGCCACTTATCTATAGTACAATATCTAGTAGACATGTGTCACATTCCTCCTGATCAACCAGACAATAGCAATAACACTGCATTACTGTACTCAGCAATGGGGGGCCATTCTGACCTAGTGGAATTTTTTATTGAGAGAAATTGTAATACTTCTCAAATTAATTTTCATAGCGAGTCTCTATCATTGCTAGCTTGTCAAAGCGGAGAGTTAGCATTAGTCCACAAGCTTGAATCATTAAACCTCTTCTCACCAGATGACATAACTAAGACAAGGTCTAGTATACTACATTATACTTGTCGTTCTATGAATATTAAAAGTGTTGAGCTTTTTAAGTATCTTATAAATCGATATCAATTATCCATTGATGTAAAAGATCAATATGGTAGGACTCCACTTCATATTGCTTCATGGTTTGCTTCATCATCAGTTGTTGAGTATATTGTTAGTATTCAAGGTAACGAAGCATTATTTGTTAATGATAATAATGGTAAGTCATGTCTACATTGGGCATGTTATGCAGGTATACATATTCCAGCTGGTATTGTGTATAGTAAGCTTATGGCACAAAGTGATGCATCAGTTATTGATATTATAAATAATACTAGAGCAAAACCAAATATTAATTTTATCAAACAAAATGAAAGAGTTAAAATGTTTTCTTCACTTCTCAAGAAAGCTAGCACTTGCCCTAACTTTGACATCAATGCCACTACAAATGATGGTAGGTCATTACTTCATTGGTCATCAGTCAGTGGCAGTACATCACTAGTGAAAGCATTAGAAGATTATACTATCAATTGTACATTAGCTAATGATGGTATATCTCCAGTACATTATGCTACCTGGTCAGGTTCTACTAGTGTATTAAGTTATATCACATCTCAGTATAATCTCAATGCTAATGATACTAATACTTATGGTCATACACCATTAGTCTACTCCTGCCATTCAGGTAGTATTAATTCCGTTAAATATCTTATCAATAATCATAACAGTGATCCTAATATTACTGATAATAAAGGCATGGCATGTCTTCATCATTCTTGTCGTCATGGTCATATTGATATCACTCAATATCTCATTGAGGTACAGCATTGTGATATTAATAAAACAGATAATGAAGGACGCACATTAGTACATCATGCTGCATGGAGTGGTAACTTTGATTTAGTTCAGTATCTTATTACTGAACAAGGTTTGTCTCCTACTGCAGTCACTAAGAATGGCCTCACTGCTTTACATTATGCCTCACTGTCTCTTAACTTACCTCTTGTTAAAGAATTAATAACTACCTATCAGTTAGATCCTCATCAAGCTGACAGTAATGGTAAGTTACCAATTCATTATGCTGCTGAATCTGGTGATATTTTACTACTGGAATTATACATGAAGGATTACAAGTGTAGTCTGATCCTAACAGATGACAAAGGTTGGAATGTTATTCATTTTTCATCATTAAAAGGTCACAATCACTTTATCAAGCATATCACCAGTCAATATCCTCAATACATTAGTTTACTACACTCTACTGACAATGAAGGTCAAGTACCATTGCATTTAGCCTGTGAGAGTGGTAATATTCAAGTGGTCACATTTCTAATAAATGATATGAAATGTGATGTCAATGCTAAGATGAGACGTGATCAAGGATGTGTCACATTTGCCTGTTTCTCAGGTAATCTTGATCTAGTACAATTACTAATACAACAGTATAAGCTTGAGCCTTTAGCTACTGATAAATATGGTTTTACAGGATTGCATGCAGTGGCACAGACTGAACATACTCATATACTGGAATTGTACAGTCAGGAGTATAGTGTGGATATTACTAATCACACTAGCAATAACAAGTACACACTAGCTCATTCAGCTGCTTATAAAGGTAAGCTACATTGTCTACAGGAACTGATCAACAAGTATCGGTGTGATATTAATGCCACTACTACTGATACTGGTAGTACAGTTCTTCATAAAGCATGTGAAGGAGGTCATGTTCCAGTTGTACTTTATCTCACTAGTCTTCCTCAGTGTAATGTAGCAGCTAAGACTTCAAATGGATCAACAGTTCTTCACATTACCTGTGAGTACAGTGACTCTCTTCCTATACTCAAACATCTGGTAGAGAATCATCAGTTAGATCTGTGTGCTGTGAATGATGAGGGAATGGCTCCTATTCACTTAGCATGTAGTGAGGGAAGATTGAACTTGATCAAGTACATTATAGAACACATACCATCATCACTTGAACTACCTCACAGTACAGATGGTCATACTCCATTCGTTATTGCAGTGTACTTCAATCAGTTAGAAGTTATTAAATATCTTATTAGTAAGAAGTGTAATCTATCAGCTACTGATGATGAAGGGTCTGGAGCAGTTCACATATCAGTAGAGAGGGGTCACTTGAATGTATTGAAGTATCTCATTGATAATAATTATTGTAATCCTAATGCAACCAATCATCAAGACCGTACACCACTGCATGTTGCTGTAGCAGTTAATGAATATGAAATATTAAAATATTTACTGAGTAAGAGGGTACCTTCAATGAGTGTTGTCTGGTTACGTGAGATAAAGTGTTTATTAGACAGTCCTCATGACATATACAATAATCCACATAATGCGGTACTTATTAATGTACAAGATAAAGATGGTAATACACCATTACATGTAGCCTGTCAACGTGTGCAACAGAATATGGTATCACTGTTACTAAAAGCCAGTCTGTCTAACAATAACTTATTAATTACTAACAAGAAAGGACAGACACCATTACACTTAGCAGTTGCCTCTGGTCATAAGGATACCGCTGAAGCTTTACTCTTCTCAGTCACTAGTAGTTCTACTCATCATGATCTCCTTACAACTACTGATAATGAAGGATCCACTGTATTACATACAGCTTGCAGTAATGGCCATATGGATGTATTTCGTTATTTATCCAGTATTTATCCTCAAGGTGTTATTGTAATGAATAATAGAGGACGTGGTTTACTTCATGCAGCATGTGAGGGAGGTGATATTGGAATAGTAAGAACACTAATTGAGACACATGGACTGGATCCTTTAGCAGAAGATGAAGATGGTATCACCTGCTTACACTTACTAGCAGAGAGAATAAGAGTGTATATATACCAGTATTTGGAACCAAACATTGTTTCTAATCCAGTACCTAAAGACAAGTCTGGTCGTACTCCTCTTCATTATGCTTCTCGTTCTGATAATATTCGTATGGTATGTTATCTCATAGAGACCTTCCCCTGTAGTCCTGATGATCCTGACAATAATGGATACACTTCAGTTCATGGAGCATGTGAAGCTGGTAGTATGGAGTTAGTACAATACTTTCTAACTGATCTCAAATGTAATGCACTAGCTGAAACTGATGATTGTAAAACCATGCTTTACTTTGCTAGTGTGAGTTCTCATTTAGAGCTTGTTCAGTTTTTAGTTGGCGCATTCAGTTTAAAACCTCATCCACACGATATTGAAATAGCTCAATCAGTTAATCCTGATTCATCAGTAGTTAAATATCTTCAAGAGATACATTATGATTTATTTCTTTTAGAACAAAGCAAAGTGAGTGGATATCATGAGAAACTTGAAGGACAACAGGTCGACCCACCAGGACAAGATATTGTATCTTAAACGCAACCTTATCACCATATTACCACCTTATCAGTCCATTGTATGTAACCTATCACCATATTACCAATGCACCATCTTACTACAGCACCATATGTAACCTATCACCATTATACCATCATAGCTATCCTACCACCTTACCGCCATCTAACTAACTACCTTTACACGACTTTAATACCATCTTCACCATTACACCATATACCCACAATGGTTACCATTATCACCAATCCTATACGATATTGTATCTTAAACACCATCTTACTATTACACCTATCACCACCTTATCACCATCCCACCACCTTACATACCATTGTATCACCATTGTACTATTACACCATACACCAATGGCTACCAATATCACCTATACAATACTTGACAGAAGCAGCTTGGAGATAATTAAAAGATGAAGTACAATGGCTTCTTCACAAGTTTGGTAACAGTACATTTCATCGTGGTCTTCATGGTTGGACTCCATTACACTCTGCATCATATGGTGGACACATTGAGATCCTTCAACTACTCATCCATCAATATGGTATTGATCCTAATGAAGGTGATGATAATAGTGTATCTAGTATACATATGGCATCTTATAAGGGCCACTTATCTATAGTACAATATCTAGTAGACACGTTTCATGTTCCTCCTGATCAACCAGACAATATCGATAACACTGCATTACTGTACTCAGCAATGGGGGCCATTCTGACCTAGTGGAATTCTTTATTGAGAGAAATTGTAATACTTCTCAGATTAATTGCAGTAGTATTTCCTTATCACTGTTAGCTTGTAAAAGTGGAGAGTTAGCATTAGTCCACAAACTTGAATCATTAAACATCTTCTCACCAGATGACATAACAAAGTTAGGGGCTGGTGTATTACATTATAGTTGTCGTTCTTTGAATAATAAAAGTGTTGAGCTTTTTAAATATCTGTTAAATCAATATCACTTATCCATTGATGTAAAAGATGAATATGGTAGGACTCCACTTCATATTGCTTCATGGTATGCTTCATCATCAGTTGTTGAGTATATTGTTAGTATTCAAGGTAATGAAACATTATTAGTTAATGACAATGATGGCTACTCATGTTTACATCATGCATGTTATGCAGGCATACATATTCCAGCTGGTATTGTGTATAGTAAGCTCATGGCACAATGTGATGCATCAGATGTTAAGATTATTAATAATACTAGAATAAAACAAAATATTAACTTTATCAAACGAAGCAAAAAAGTTAAAATGTTTTATTTACTTCTCAAGAAAGCTAGCACTTGCCATAACTTTAACATCAATGCCACTACAAATGATAGTTGGTCATTGCTTCATTATGCATCATGGACTGGCAGTACATTACTAGTGAAAGCATTAGAGGAATATAATATCAATTGTACATTAACTGATGATGGTATGTCTCCAGTACATTATGCTGCCTTGTCAGGTTCTACTAGTGTATTAAGTTATATCATATCTCAATATAATCTCAGTGCTAATGATACTGATACTAATGGTCGTACACCATTAGTCTACTCCTGCCAGTCAGGTAGTATTAATTCTGTTAAGTATCTTATTAATAATCACAAATGTGATCCTAGTATTACTGATAATGATGGTATGACATGTCTTTATCGTTCTTGTCATAATGGTCATATTGATATCACTCATTACCTCATTGAGGTACATCATTGTGATATTAATAAAACAGATAATTATGGAGGCACGTTAGTACATCATGCTGCATGGAGTGGTAACTTTGAGTTAGTTCAGTATCTTATTACTGAACAAGGTTTGACTCCTACTGCAGTGGATAAGAATGGCCTCACTGCTTTACATTATGCCTCACTGTCTCTTAACTTACGTCTTGTTAAAGAATTAATAACTACCTATCAATTAGATCCTCATCAAGCTGACAGTAATGGTACCTTACCAATTCATTATGCTGCTCAATCTGGTGATATTTTACTACTGGAATTATATGTGAAAGATTACAAGTGCCGTCTAAGCCTAACAGATAATGATGGTAACAGTGTTATTCATTATTCAGCTTCAGTCGGTCACACTCACCTTATTAAACATCTGGTAGAGAATCATCAGTTAGATCTGTGTGTTGTGAATGATGAGGGAATGGTTCCTATTCACTTAGCATGTAGTAATGGGATATTGAACTTGATTCAGTACCTTATAAAATACACACCATCGTCACTTGAACTACCTCACAGTAAAAATGGTCATACTCCATTTCTTATTGCAGTGTACTTTAATCAGTTAGAAGTTATTGAATATTTTATTAGTAAGAAGTGTAATTTATTAGCTACTGATGACGAAGGTTCTGGAGCAGTTCACATATCAGTAGAGAGGGGCCACTTGAATGTATTGAAGTATCTCATTGATAATAATTATTGTAATCCTAATGCAACCAATCATCAAGACCGTACACCACTACATGTTGCTGTAGCAGCTAATAAATTAGAAATATTAGAATATTTACTGAGTAAGAGTATACCCTCAATGAGTGTTGTCTGGTTACGTGAGATAAAGTGTTTATTAGACAGTCCTCATGACATATACAATAATCCACATAATGCTGTACATATTAATGTACAAGATAAAGATGGTAATACACCATTACATGTAGCCTGTCAACGTGGACAACAGAATATGATATCACCATTACTGAAAGCCAGTCTATCTAACAATTACTTATTAATTACTAACAAGAAAGGACAGACACCATTACACTTAGCAGCTGCCTCTGGTCATAAGGATACTGCTGAAGCTTTACTGTTCTCAGTCACTGGTAGTTCTACTCATCGTGATCTCCTTACAGCTACTGATAATGGAGGATCCTCTGTATTGCATACAACTTGCAGTAATGGCCATATTGAAATGTTTTGTTGTATATCTAGTATTTATCCTCTAGGTGTTAATGTAATGGATAATAGAGGACGTGGTTTACTTCATGCAGCATGTGAGGGAGGAGATATTGGAATAGTAAGAACATTAATTAAAACACATGGACTGGATCCTTTAGCAGAAGATGAAGATGGCATCACCTGCTTACACTTACTAGCAGAGAGAAAGAGAGTTTATATATACCAGTATTTGGAACTAAACATTGTCTCTAATCCAGTACCTAAAGACAAGTCTGGTCGTACTCCTCTTTATTATGCTTCTCGTTCTGATAATATTCGTATGGTACGTTATCTCATAGAGACCTTCCCATGTACTCCTGATGATCCTGATAATAATGGATACACTTCAGTTCATGGAGCATGTGAAGCTGGTAGCATGGAGTTAGTACAATACTTTCTAACTGATCTCAATTGTAATGCACTAGCTGAAACTGATGATTGTAAAACCATGCTTTATTTCGCTAGTAAGAATTCTAATTTAGAACTTGTTCGGTTCTTAGTTAACGCATTCAATTTAAAACCTCGTCCACATGATATTGAAATAGCTCAATCAGTTAATCCTGATTCATCAGTAGTTAAATATCTTCAAGAGATACATTATGATTTATTTCTTTTAGAACAAAGCAAAGGGAGTGGATATCATGAGAAACTTGAAGGACAACAGGTTGACCCACCAGGACAAGATATTGTATCTTAAACACAACCTTATCACCATTTTACCACCTTATCAGCCCATTGTTTGTAACCTATCACCATATTACCAATACACCATCTTACCACAGCACCATATGTAACCTATTGCCATTACACCATCATACCTATCCTACCACCTTGCCTAACACGACTTTAGAATATTGTCATCACCATTACACCATATACCCACAATAGTTACCAATATCACCAATCCTATCATCTTACCATTGCACCTATCACCATCCCACCACCTTACATAACATTGTATCACCGTTGTACTATTACACCATACACCAATGGCTACCAATATTACCTATACAATACTTCTGTAATCTCTAAACTTGTATCACCATTAATCTTAACACCTTCATGCTAATTTTGACATTTAACCACCATTGTCACCTTATCATTACTATGTACACCAAAGACGTGCAATATATCCATTACCATTGTACCACCATATTGGATGGTGGTACAATTGTAATGGATATATTGCACGTCTTTGGTGTACATAGTAATGATAAGGTGACAATGGTGGTTAAATGTCAAACTTAGTATGAAGGTGTTAAGATTAATGGTGACCATTGTAACTGTAACCACCTTACCAGTTATCACCATTACACCATATACCCACATTATCAATCCTTCTTCTTTAATATATTCTCCATTAACATGTATCACTGGAGCTCATCTTTGCTTTCTTTTGTTAGTCTTCCCTTTCTTCCTTAATTAATAATTTATTTTATTATAGCATGTACACATCGTGTACCTTTATTTTGTACTTACTCTTAATTTTTATTATAATTATTTTGTTGTTGTTATTATTGTATTTTGACTTACTTTTATTCTTACTTTCTTAGACAATTAAGATGTATGTTAGCATCTAGTTTTTTATCAATTTAATGTTTTTAATAAAATTATTTTAATTTTATTAAAGTAAAATTAAATTAAAATTAAAATTAAATTAAAAAATTAAAAATAGCGAGAGAGCTTAAAACTGCTAAATTAAATAGACGCCAAAATAATTATTATTCATTATAATGGTCATTATTTATAGTTAATTTGGTTAAAAATGCTAAAATTAGTAATGCTAAACATGACTTTTGCTGATTTCGCTAAAATTAGTAGACGCAAATAATAGTAGGCTTCATCAGACAATGTCCATAGTTCTGCCACAGTGGACTTGAAGTGATTACGTCTGGACATTCAAGAACTCCTTAAATTTGATGTGATTCTCCACTGGTCAGTGCACCTCCAAAATCAGCAAGATGTATAGGATCATCTACCATAATTTCTCTAAAAATCCAGCACTCTAATATTGAAAATAAATAATTATTCGGGAGAAATAGTACCTAAAGTAGTCTAAATATTCGTCACAAAAATCCTTAACACATATTCTAACATAGATATAATACACAGACATAATACATATAATAAAATACATAGTACATAGATATAATACAGGTTCTCATTGTGTCAGGATTCTCTATATTCATCTAATGTCAATGGAATGGCAGGTAAGCAGTGACTTGGCAGACTTTCATGACACACTCACGCACCAACATGCTGCCAATAAATTCGTCAAAAATAAACTATTTCCATTTGACGTCTAAAATTTCGTTCTCAAAATTACCTGCCCTAAACAGTTATGACAAATTTTTTTACAAAAATTATGGTATAACCAGCCTCAATAATCTGAGTCAATGACTCTGTGTGGGACAAGAGAGAGATAAAGAGATGAAGATTGAGACCTAGCTCTCACATTAAGTCTCACATTGAGAAAATGCTAAGTATTCTACCCCCAGACTATCTAACACAGCCCACACCATGAGCATCCCTACTGCCATGCAGTTCAGCCAGCTTGCATGATGTATTTGTGTGTGTATTCCACAGTAGTATGCATATGTGTTACATGTATAAAGGTTTTTGTTTTGTGTGTTTATGAGTAAGTGATAATAGCATAGTGGTAGAAGGGAGGTGAGGCAGTCTGGCCTTGTGAGTCAGAGGTGGGGTTTCAAACATTTTAACAGGCTCAACACTAAAAACTCTACCTGCCTCCATTTCGTCTTTTTTTAATTATAATTTGAGGAGTGACAAAAACATAAGGTAAGTGTTTATATACCATAATAGTGGAAAAGTTTCGTGGCCCAAAATTTTCACGGATCTGTCCAAAAATCAATTTTGTGGCTTTAAATTTTGTGGTTTTCTACATTTTTGGCCATCTTAAACCGTATAAAATCAATTTTCACTGATTTTATTTTCGTGGGTTTTGAAAAAAGTGCAAAATCCACAAAAATTTTGGGCCACAAAAATTTTCTGCTATACGGTAGATCATTTGAGAATGTGTTTACACAGTGTATGTGGCTGTATTTACATATTTGTCTTACATGAATGTATAAACAAATAAAATTACAATTGGGGCTTATCAATATTCAATGCACTTGAGGTTGCCATTTTCTAATGTAAAGTAAACATGTGCTTTTAAGAATACATAATTAATTATTATTAATTAGAATTAATTGGGTCCGGCCACTTAAAAACAAAGATTAGATGTACATTGTACACTGTATAGGTCTTTCTACCAATTTTAAACTACTAAAGTACATGTAAGTGCCCAGTTAAGCTAGCATTATGCT